GGGGAGGACCAGGGAGGATGATTCAACCACTCAACCACTAGATGTCGCTGAAAACAACAAATCCTACACACTGTGCCTTTAAGCACTAACAGATAACCTGACATGTTCCGGTATCACATGAGATTGTGTATAATCTTATTTATGAGGTTGGACCAAAGGGGCTTCAGCTCTGTCATTTCTCAACACAAGATGATCTCAAAATTCTGGCCTGAAAGGCGGCGGGCGATATGCATTCTTTAAGGAATGCTAGGCGTTTAATTTAGTTTTATGCTGTTTCACTTTCACTTAACTTACCTTTTATCAAATCCAAACTAATGTACAAGCCAAAGTTCTTTTCCAAAGACTCCACACACGCAGCAGAATCCCACGTGTTTGAAACACTTGGCCCATCCACCTACATCCTCATGTTGCTTTTCTTCCTACACCTTTTTCATTTCAACAAGAAGTGAAAGAAATGGTCTTCAACAGTCAGAGGAGAGCTGCAGTGTTTTACATAAACTCAGAAATCATAAGGTTTAGGTGGTTTTAATGAGGATAACGTCATCTGTGTGCGTGTTTGTGTTTGCTGCAGCTGGCTGGTGGTGAAGGATTCCTTCCTGCTGTACATGAAACACGACTCGGGAGCGATCTCCTTTGTCCTGCTGGTGGATAAAGAGTTCAGCATCAGGATGGACTCCAAAGACACAGAGACTAAACATGGAGTCCGGATTGATAGTCTATCCAGGTTATATTTCTGTGTGTGTACATGTCTTTGTTACCTGGTGGGGACGATTTTTGTCTATTTTCAACAGCATACGCACAGCCTGATGATGTCCCTTTTGGGGACAGAAGTCTGGTGGGTTAGGGGTTAGATTTAGGACTAAGCTGTGAATTGAGTTTAGGTTAGTCTATAGAAATGACTGGTAAAAGAATGGAAGTCAATGCAAAGACCACATAAGGACAAAAGAACAAATATGTGTGTGTTTAAAGTGAGAAATGATTTTTAAAAATGCTTCATGAGTTTATACGTTATTATTTTTCCTGTTTGACCTTCTGTAGGTCATTATTTTGCAACCAAAGTACTTTGTGCTATTTTAACCATTTTAAGCTGTTAGCTCAGTCAGAGTATTTCTTCCTTTTTGTAACTTTTATACATTTTAAAATATTCCATTTTATTTTAAATAAAATTCCTCATAGAAATACATTCAGAGCTCTTAAATTTCTTCTAGAACATTAGCTTTGAAATCTGCTTTACTGCACATGCTCTATTTGTCTTATTTGTTTCTAACTACGGTTCTGTCACTTTTACCTGCTAACAGACACTAATTTTAACATCTGTTCTGCTCATTTTAACTCCAGTTTTGCAAATTCTAGCTACTGTTTGAACAGTTACAGCTACAGCTGACAAATGGGAAAGTGGACGTGGGAGGAGAAAAATAGGCATTGAAAAATTACAGTCTGTGAAATCATGTTTCTGCTCATTTTAAACACTATTAACACTAAAAAACAACATCTGTATGTCCCAGATTAAAGCAAACATGTCTTTATGTACTTTTCAAATGTATGTATTGAACTCAGGAAATCATCTCTTTAAGGATGCTGGGAAAATATCAACATTTTTTTTCTTCTTCTGACTTTACAATAGTTTTGAGTGTGGATTTTAGTTTTTTCTTGCCAAATTCTTGTTCAGTCTGGTCTGTACATCAGAAACTCCAAAACACAGACGTTACTGTCTTTAGCTAAAGGATGAGGTCATCACAGGAGTCCTGTTGACTGGTTGATACGGCAGCACAGTTTGTTCACATTGCTGCTGTTACAAAAGTCGCTGTTGAGCTTTAAATTTTGAATGAGATATAACAAGTATCTATTTTAACAGTTATATAAGACTGTAGTTAGTAGAAGTTGGGTGGAAGGTAAATCTGTTATTATTTTAAAGTTGATGAAATCACACCACTGGTTTTTAACAGCTGGTTATGTGAAGTTCAAATTATTTTTTAGTTTCTTGTCATGTCAACACTCTTTACCAGTGGCTGAATATGTTTTAAAGGAGACCAATTATGGGTCCTAGAAATGTTTATGGTATGTCTGTGGGCTATCCAGACCATGTTCATTCAATTTAATGCACAAAATAATTCTCAGATAATAAAATTTCCCATTTTCTAGTTCTGCCTGCTCTGACTTCTGTTCAGAAGAGCTGTTTATGTTAATGAGCTCTGTTGGTAACGCCCTCCAAAAATCTGTTGACATTAACTCCGCCCTCCAAAGCCAGCGTTTACGTTAGCATGGCTAAAAATAACAGAAGCTCCGTTGTACAACCATATGAGACCCAGAGGCAGAGTTGGTCACAGCTTCTTTTTTTTTCTCCCCCTCCTCTGCTCTGCGCTCACTCTGCATGCTGTTACCAGAGCAGGGAGCAGCAGCGGTCAAAATACCTCAGAAACTCGAACAAATAGGCTTTAACAAGGCTTTAATAAGCTAAACAATAGAGGTACATGAGAAAACGTGTTCATAATGAATGAAAATAAATAATTAAATAGTGCCTGTGCCAGTCCCGTACCCTAGTCTCTTACTCTGTGGTCCAACACGCTACCCATTGCCCTATTAGATGGCTTACTGTGAAATCAGCTGCACAACAACACTGCGACGGCTTTTTATACTGAGGAGGTGGAGTCTCACCCGGGGGTTGCTAGGTAAGGGGCTGAACGCAGKTTCCGGTGGGTTGTCGTACGGCTTGTGACATCACAAAATGACTGAAGTATAAAATTTGTCGTTAATATACATTAAAAATACATTTACTTACGGTAAATATGCTCCTGGGTGCATTTTTTTTGGGTCCTAGGACAGTTTTTTTTAAGAAGTACATACCCAAAGTTGGGTAAAAAAAACCTTTAAAAGTGAATTTTGCATAATGGGTCCCCTTTAACGTAAGTTTTAGTGCATAAAATTTATTTTTCTATGTTCTTGCTTGTTATTGAATGATCAGTGTTTTTTGTTAATAATCAACAGATTCAGACATGTTTTCACTGAAATCACTGTGTCTGTGAGTGAGCTTCAGTATATTTCCCTGCATCACAGCCATGTATCCCCCTGCCTGCAGGACGCTCGTGTTTAAGTGCAGCAGCTACAGACACGCCCGCTGGTGGGGTCAGAGCATCGAGAGCTTCGTGAGGAATCATGGGAAGGCTTTCCTCCGAGATCACCGCTTTGGATCGTTTGCACAAGAAGAAGAAAACATCCCTGCCAAATGGTAACTATGCTGGGAGAAAAGGGCCGACTTTAGTTTAAATCCGAAATGAATTTAACCAAAATTATGAAACAACAAAACCAGTCTGAAACAGCAAAAATGTACCTGAATGCAAGAAAACACAGATCAAATCAGACAAAACTGGTAAACTTTATAATTCTTTTAAGTACAACTTTTCTCATTAAAGATATCCGTCACCCACCCAAGAGCGTTAATGTTTTGTCTCTCTGCATGTGCTCTATTCTGTCTGTTAGCAAAGTATTTCATGAAGCGTTGTACAGATTTTAATCACTGAATCAACCCCAGCCAAGATGACTGCCACGTCTAAGCAACCTTAGCCAACACAAAAATTGCTATAGCTTAGTCAGATACAAATGTTTTTCTTTCAGCTGATTTTTTTGCAGGGGACGCCACAACCAGCAAACTCAAACTGTAGATTAGGTGATTGTTTTTTTTACCAGATGTCCTTCCTGAGTGTCAGTTTTCCACATACTGAGCTACATTTTGGTGTGGTAGTAGCTGAGAATCAACTTCAACACCAACTCTGTCATTAACTGTTGTTTACAGTGCTTACATTGTCAGACTGTCAAATTACTGCTCTGCAGCTGCAGTTAAATCCACATAATTAAATGATTAGTGCTCCGCTCAAAGAAAATAATCATGGTGAGTATTAAAAAAGAAGCAGATCTTTGCTTTTCTTCTGCTTGTCTTGTACTGGTAACTATGGAAATGCTTGAAGAAGTCGAAGCAGCTAAGTATTTTCTTTGGCTGGGTTGTTCTTTTCCTAATTAGCATTTTTTTCCCTCCTCAGCTGCCAGAGTCTACGATATTAAATCATAAGTGTGATGAAGTTAGAGAAAGCATGAAGTAGTATATTCTGTGGTCCTGCGAGCTTGTTGAAGAAATAATCTGTACAGAACAGGGCTGCAGTAACGCGGTGCTCGGTGCCGTTGGCTTTTGTAACCCTGAGGCTGCAGGTTTGAGCCCAGGTCGGGTCAGGAAGGACATCTGGAGTAAAACAACTGCCCAATCTTTTCCCATGCTGGAGGGAGCAGCTGAAACACCAGCTGAGATCAGACACGGGTCAGTTTTGGGCGTAGTCTTCATTTTGTAAGGTCGTTCATGAAAGAGTTGGGGAAGAGAATAAGAATGTGTCAACATTTGTTTTGTTGATGACTGATTCAGAGGTCAGACACAGTTTAAAAGCAAGCTGTGATCACACAGTGATCTCTGATAAGACATAGGCACTGTTTGATTGAACTGAAACTCACTGTATCCTTGTTTACAAGTTTTAAATACTAACAGCTCTATCAGCACATCAACAGGATTTGATGTCTGTTTTGTAGCAGCTGTAACTCTGGACATTCTGTGCAGGTATGTGAACGGGAAGACGTACATGGAGGACGTGGCCGATGCTTTGGAAGAGGCCACAGAAGAAATCTTTATCACCGACTGGTGGTGAGTTCCATTCTGAATTCTGTGTGAACATGCAGCAGATTATCAGAAGGAGTGTCTGCTGTCAGCAACAAGGTGTGGAAAATAAAACACTGTTTGGATGTCAGAACTGGTTTTACTTCAATTCTACAATGTCTTGGTTTAACTTTTTCTAATCTTTATCAATAACTTACAATATACAAACTAGCTTTCACCAGAGGTCATCATTTGCTTTGTTCTGAAGTTGCTGATTTCCCCAAGTTGAACTTTAGTGTCTTATTAACTTTGACCAAAGTTAAAATTGCAAAGAATATTGACTCTAAGGTGTGTCATGGGACACTAAGTAAAAACTGATTTTCAGTGAGCTAAAAGAAAGAAAAACTTACATCAAGGTAATGTTGTAAAACACTTTAGATAAAATTCTTAATAAGGGTTGAGATCAAGGAGGGATGGGGGCCACACCATGAGTTTCTCTCCTTTTATGCCCATATCAGCCAATGATGCAGAGGTATACCTTGCAGCATGCGATGGTGCACTGTCATGCATGAAGATGGATTTGGTCTTCATGCTGTCTTAATCTGATGTATCTGCCACAAATCTCTTAACAGTACAATGATCACACTTAAGTTGTGAAATATCTAAAGTTTTCATACCAAGACATTTGACTGTTTAACACTTTTCAGCTGCAGAGAGATCCTTTTTCTTTCCCATATCGATTAAAAATGGTGGTCAGTAAACTAATGTGGAACATCTTCTTCAGTAGGTTTTCTTTTTATTGGGCTCACTTCGCAAACTGTCATCCTAGGTTTCTGAGATTGACTTCAGTGATTCAAAGAGCCCTGAGTCACAATACAACATGTCATTATCACGACAAAACCATGAAAAAAAAATCATATGCTGAAAACGGCCGCTCTCAACTTAACGTATGTAGCAACCAGTGGTGGGCACTAGTCCCCTAAAGCGCGAAAGCACCAATTGCGAACCTAAATTTCTTGCATTATGGGTTTGACTAATTTCTTCAAATGATGTTTTCAAGTGATGCTTTCTAATTTTAAAATTGAGTAGCGCTAATCTAAAGTTTTCATTGAGTTTTCATCGTCAATATTTACTTTAGTGGAGAAACTCACTACAATGTAAAAAAGCCGATCAAATTCATTATGTTGTACAACCACATATTTCATGAAAGCTTCAACATTATTATTATTATTATTATTATTATTATTGTTGTTGTTGTTGTTGTTGTTGTTGTTGTTGTTGTTGTTGTTGTTGTTGTTGTTG